CAATAAAACATCCACAGAACCATGAAGAAGAAAACTGTAACCCAGGAGTTTTCTACAAAGTAGTAATTCACACATGAAAGCAAAAGGAAGAGTTTAGTCATGTTTTATGTAAATCTGAGGAGCCAGGAGCTTCTACCCAGTTTCCCACTTGGTGCAGGGGCCCAAGGATTTGGGCCATCATCTACTGCTTTCCCAGGCCATAGCAGAAAGCTAGATAGGCAGTGGAGCAGCCAGGACTCAAACCAATGTCCATATGGATGCCAGCAATGCAGGCAGCAGCTTTACCCGCTATGCCACAGTGCTGGCCCAATCTGTCTATACTTTATGAACCATGTTATTGTGTTCCTGTACTGGACTTTTATGAGTGATTTTCATGAGTAGTGTTTTATTCACCATTATCATAATTTAAAATATTTTTAGTATCTTATAACAATAATTCACCATTATTATAATTTAAAATGTTTTTTAGTATCTTATAACAATATCATTTAATCCTTCATTAGATGGTCATGCTTGTGCTAATGCTGAAAGTAAGTTAGATGTGGTATGTCAACTTAGGAAAGAGCACTGGAAAATATGAGCAATGATTAAAAACAGCAGTTAACACCTTCTGAGTGCCAGGTGATATTCTAAATAATTTATATGCATTATCTCTTTTAGTACTCAATTTATAACAGCCCGTTGAGAACAATATTATTTTTATCCTTATTCTACAGACGAGAAAACTGAGGGTCAAAAAGTTGAGGCAACATGCCCAGGACCTGTGGGGAATCCCACAGGAGTCCAAAAATTAGTCACAGATCACCGCTTACCTGACCCGCAGAAGGAGGTGAACTGTAGAAACTCTACAGAGAATCCTAAAGTCAAAAACTGCCACTAGCCACAAAGTGAAAGTAAAGAAAAATGGAGTCACTTATGTCAAGCCAAAGACTGATGACATCACTTAGGCTAAGCTGATGCTTGCCAAGAAGGATGCTCCTCCTCAGACTGGACAGACATCCCTGGGCAGTATGATAACGTGTGTGCCACGGACGATAACCTCGAGTTACCCTCCTATTCATTCTATGATTGGACACACCCTGAGAGTGAGCTGGAGACACCTTGTCCTAGGCATTGGGTTGGTGGCACCCTGGGAAACTCTGAGAGGCAGCACAACTGATTGGTGACACCCGGACCGCTACTGGAGACGCCCCCTTCAGAGTGGCAAGGATAAAAGCAGAGCCTTTTCCACTGCTCTCCATCCTCTCGAGGATCATGGCCCGGTGTGTGTGAACCACTGGATCTCCTCACCCTTGGAGCTGAAGAGCCAGCTCGCTAGCCCCCTTGCTAAGTGACACAAGGTGACTATGGGATCCAAACTCCAACGGAGATGCTGCCTCGTCTGGACCCCTTATCAGCCTGCTGCAGAGCTGGACCAGGCCTCTCAGCAGGGGCCAACTCCTTGCCTCGCCATCCGCCTGGGAATTCTGAGCCATTGCCCAGAGTGACAGCCATCCCACAATTTCCTGCCTGTGACTGACTGATCCAAGATCCGTCTCTACTGAGACGTTGAGCTCTGGACTTTGAACACTGACTCTTTTTTGTGACCATGATACAAACCTTGAAAACGCAGCTTTTATAAATGAGATTAGCCATGTGTAATGTAATATGAATATGCTCTGACCCTATAATTAAGAGTAATGATACATACCTTGCTGTACAAATATTTTTTGACAGGCAGAGTGGACAGTGAGAGAGACAGACAAAGGTCTTCCTTTGCCATTGGTTCACCCCCCAATGGCCGCTGCAGCCGGCGCGCTACAGCTGGCGCATAGCGCTGATCTGAAGCCAGGAGCCAGGTGCTTCTCCTGGTCTCCCATGGGAGACCAAGCACTTGGGCCATCCTCCATTGCACTCCCTGGCCACAGCAGAGAGCTGGACTGGAAGAGGGGCAACTGGGACAGAATTCGGTGCCCCGACCGGGACTAGAACCCAGTGTGCTGGTGCCGCAGGTGGAGGATTAGCCTATTGAGCTACGGCGGCGCCGGCCTGTACAAATATTATTATAATTGGATAGCACTGGAAGTTACTTTAATGCTGTATATTGTGATTTGTGGTTTAATGAATATAATTGATGAATAGTAAGAAAATTGTATTACTATTAAGATTTGATTCCAGTAGTTCTTTAGTATTGTCGTAAATAGTGTTATAATAATAGTTAAGTGTTATTGCAGTAAGTAGTAGTTAAGCCATAACTTGGACTGATAAGTATAGTGATAAGTATGGATTGATAAGTATATTGATACCGATAAGTGTATTGACCTTAATGAGCATGCTGATTAGTGTGATAAAAACCCCTGGTGTCTAAGTAATAAACTCTCACTGGAAAGGCAGTCTTGTGTCCATGTGTTCCTTCTTTTTTTAAAATTTATTTATTTATTTTACAGAGTTAGACAGTGAGAGAGAGAGACAGAGAGAAAGGTCTTCTTTCCGTTGGCTCACCCCCCAAATGGCCGCCACAGCCGGAGCTATGCCGATCTGAAGCCAGGAGCCAGGTGTTTCTTCCTGGTCTCCCACTCGGGTGCAGGCGCCCAAGCACTTGGGTCATCCTCCACTGCCCTCCCAGGCCACAGCAGAGAGCTGGACTGGAAGAGGAGCAACCGGGACTAGAACCCAGCGCCCATATGGGATGCCGGCACTGCAGGTGGAGGATTAACCAAGTGAGCCACAGCGCTGGCCCCTCATGTGTTCCTTCTTCTCCATGCTCAGACACATCACTCTTAAGCCCTGTTGAGCTGTGTGACAGCAGGCACTCACGACAGGACCACAGAGCTGGTAAATAATGCAGTTTGTATTTGAACACAGGCTTACATGAAAGTCTGTTAACAACCATGCTCTAGTGCATTTCAAATGCTGAGAAAAGGAAAAGCAGTATTACAAAAGTAAAAATGGATAAGGACTTTTGAATTCTGAGGACACAGGCATCTTTTACTTTAGCTATATTCCAAAGGAAATTAGTCTTGAATTACACATCTTGAATGAGTCAATCAGAAAGAAAAGAATATTCCAGCAACTCAGATTAATTAAAATTAAGATAGAGATTTTACAGACTGGTAAGGGTCATTAAAAGAATTTATATGTAGCATTATGTCTAAATAAACATAATTTCAAGATAAAAAACAAATAAAAATCCTCAAAAGAAACTGAATGCAAAATAATAATCTGAAAATAATAAGGTAGACATAAAATCCCAGATTTACCAACAAAACTAGGAAACAGGAGGAAATACTGAAAATAAAGTTACAAATTTTCTTATTTTACAAAAGGAGGAACTGGAAGATAGTGTGTATATATATATATTTATATATATATGGTTGGTATAAGTGATTCAGAAAAATTAAAGTAACAATGTTAAGGAATAATAACATATATTTTAAATATATTTAAATTTAGAAAAAAAAGAAAAGAAAGAGCAAGGAAGCACTGAGAGAAGATTACCAGCATGGGGTTCTGTGTTCCTGGATATGGCCTGGCCCAGCCCAGCTGTTGTGGACATTTGGGGAATGAACCAGCAGAAGTGAACCAGGTATGTCTCTTTTTATTCCCTATCTTGTTCCCTCTTTGTTCCCCAATCCCTCTCTTGACTTCCAAGTTTTTTTTTTTTTCACAAAGAAGAAAAAGTAAAGACAAATTTAAAAGAAAGTATTACACCAAAGTAGAATTCAAGAGGTAAAAACATCATACAAGATTTTTAAAAAAAAAAAATCCATATTACAACTCATACAATTCTGTGTATTAAAAACAATGCCCAAATATATATAAAACAAACTGACAAAAAAAGGCAGAAAGAAATGGGTATAAGTACAGAAATATAGGGAAAGTCCTTTAGGCATGAAATTATGGGCACAAAGTTAAATACAGGTTATCTGGAGTCAAGCAGAGCTCTTATTATGGTAAGAATTTAGACTTAGGGGCCAGCACTGTGGCACAGCAGGGTAAAGCCCCAACCTGCAGCACCAGCATCCCATCCCAAATACGGATGCCAGTTGGAGTCCTGGCTGCTCCATTTCTGATCCCACTCTCCCTGCTGGCATGGCTGGGAAGGCAGCAGACGATGGCCCAGGTCCTTGGGCCCCTGCACCCATGTGAGAGATCAAGAGGAGGCTCCTGGCTCCTGGCTTCAGATTGGCTCAGCTCCAGCTGATGTAGCTGTTTGGGGAGTGAACTAGGGGATGGAAGACTTCTTTCTCTGTCTCCATCTCTCTAACTCTTTAAAATAAAAAAAAAAATAGGCCGGCGCTGTGGCTCACTAGGCTAATCCTCTGCCTGAGGCACCGGCACCCCGGGGTTCTAGTTCCGGTTGGGGCACCGGATTCTGTCTCAGTTGCCCCTCTTCCAGTCCAGCTCTCTGCTGTGGCCCAGGAAGGCAGTGGAGGATGGCCCAGGTCCTTGGGCCCTGCACCCACATGGGAGACCAGGAAGAAGCACCTGGCTCCTGGCTTTTGGACTGGTGCAGCGCACCGGCCGCAACGCACCAGCCATAGCGGTCACTTGGGGGGTGAACCAACAGAAAAAGGAAGACCTTTCTCTCTGTCTCTGCCTTTCAAAAAAATAAAATAAATAAATAGATTAAATCTTTTTTAAAAAAGAATTTGGACTTAAATGTAAAAGTCATCTCATTAAACATTTTTGTTTTAGATTGTTCTTTTGAATACCATAGAAGTTGTATGAAGGGTATAGGGTAAAACGACTGAAACACAGAAGGTCATCTTTTTTTAAATACAGATTTTATTTATCTGAAAGGTAGGAGAGAGAGAGAGAAAGATCTTCCATCCACTGGTTGACTCCCCAAATGGGCACAACGGCCAGGACTGGGCCACACTGAAGCTAGAAGCCAGGAACTCCATCCAGGTTTCTCACGTGGTTAGCAGGGGCCCAGCTACTTGGGCCACCTTCTGGTGCTTTCCTAGGAACTTTAGCCAGGAGCTCATTCAAGACTATCTTCCTTAATGAATGGTTATCAGAATTCCCACTGCCTAGAGTAGCCCAACAGTTAAATGCACTGCTAGGAAAAGCTGCTTTAAGAAGGCTGGTTCCCATGTGGGTATATTCCCTAATCTACATTTACACAGCACGTAACTCGACAAGTACTTTCACATTCATATTACCTTCAACACTGCAACAAATAAGAAATGGATATTTAGATGAGAACAAAATAGAAACTCCTAGAAGCAAGAAAAGGAGTGTGACTCAATCAGGGAAATTCCTATTAAGAGGACTGCTGGTGTATAAAATGCACTATATATTCCAACACAAATTTCCTTTCAGGTCCAGTGTTTCTGCTCCAAGAAGAGACCATCACACCTGAAGCAGCAGCAGCAGCAGCAGCAGTAAACAACCATGAGTGTGAAGGGCGTGCTTTTAGTCTTGGCTGTGATACTCTGTGCTACAACTGTTCAAGGTATATTATACTTTTTTACTTTTCAGTCTACACAATTCTTTTCTAACATTTCAAATATCTTTTCTTCCACTTTTACCCTAACCATACAATGGTAAATTTTTATTTAGCCTGACACATTTAAAGTTATAGCTTTGGCAAAAAATGGTGGAAATGTTTAAAGCCCTAGAAACAATCACTAAAATTAGAAATTATAAACTTCATGGAATTTTTAATTTGGCTATAATATTGCCTTATAAATAGTGTTAAACGTCTGCTAAGAATATTTTATATGGACTAATGCTCTTAACTTCCTGGAAAAGCTCTTATGCATGAAAGCAGAGGCAAACAAGCTTTTCTTCCAATAAACATCCTTCACCCTTGCCTTATTTTTTAATAATTTACTTACAAATTTCAAGAGAAAAATCACAAATATTTTACTTAACTTCTTTCTCAATAACAGCAGTATCAAGTGCTGTCTGACAAATTACTATCTTTATCCTTAATGAAAACTCCATTCATTCATCACCACAGTTGTAAGCCAGAGCTATCTGCCGCATTCACATGCATTATTAACTAATGCTATGATCTGTTCTAGGCTTCCCCATGTTCAAAGGGGGACGCTGTCTTTGCACAGGCCCTGGAGTAAAAGCAGTCAAAGTGGCAGATGTTCAGAAAGCCACCATAATTTACCCAAGCGGCAGCTGTGACAAAACAGAAGTAATGTAAGTAATGCCCTGATGAGGATAACAGTGGGGGCGCCTTTTTTGTTTTATGTGTTTCCATGCGAAGCTGAATGCTCTTGATCTTCCCTTAACAGTATCACCCTGAAAGCAAAAAAAGAACAATGCCTGAATCCCAGATCCAAGCAAGCAAGACTTATAATCAAGGTAGGTTACCAGATTACTTCCATGTTATCATTTGTTTTATCAAGACAAAATCTTTTGGCAAAAGAATATTGACAATGTGCAAAGATTCTGATATGATCCTGTGTGGAGTCCTGGGTTATAATAACATCCTTTTCCTGCTGTATGTTTTTTAAATGTGAACTGTGAATCATTAGGAAGATGAGAACAGCCCAGGTAAATAAAATTATCATTTTGTCATTATAGCAAATTGAAAGAAAGACTTTAAGAAATCAAAATGTATGAAGTCCTGGAAAAGAGGATTTGAAACTCCAAAACAAGTTTAACTGTGACTGCTGAAATAAGAATTCTCCTGCCTAAATTTCTCCTGCCTAAAGCAATATACATTCCTGCATTTCTGGAATGATGAACCTTCTAGGAGATTTGATGCTTACAACCACTCTGTTATGACTATGAAAGTATTTCTGGAAACATCATCTGTACTTGGTTCATATGACCGTATCTGTGGTTATACTGAAGATATTATTATTGCAGCCAAGTCCTTGCAAGTGAAAAGTATCCGTGTAGGGGTCAGCATTGTGACCGTGCATTTAGCAGTATCAGAGTACCAGCATTCCATACTGGAGCTCCAGTTTGAGTCCCGGTTGCTCTGCTTACAATCAGGCTCCTTGCAAACGTGCTTGGGAAAATAGCAGAAGACGGCTCAAGCACTTGGGTCCCTGCTACATAAATGGGGAACCCAGGTGGAGTTCCTGACTCCTAACTTCGGTCTTGCCCAGATCCAGCTTTTGCAGACACTTGGAGAATCAACCAGTGGATGGAGGTGGATCTCTCACTGTTTCTCCCTGTCACTCTGCCTTTCAAATAAATAAATATTTTAAAAAATACAATGTAAAAACATGAATGTAATAAAACATTCCTCAAATAATTTTTCCTGTAAATATAAATTTCCTTACCTAAATATAATAAACACATACATATTTAGGAAAATATATATCATTTTGTTTTATAGAAAGACTGTGATTCATGAAATGTAGTATAAAAATTGTAATAGGAAATTGGTAAGAATGCATGCATTTCCTAATTGAATCAGTAGTACGGGTGTTCAATTTGTTTTCAACTTTTTTCTTTTCATTGAGATGTTCTGAAGAGATGCCTGGGGGGATTAAGATGGTGGAGTATGAAGGAAGCTTGCTGCTCTAGTCTAGGAGAAGATAGTTTAATATGGGAAAGAGTGCAGTCTCAGGGAAGAGTTAGGAAGAAAACAGCACAGGAAACTCTATGCAAACTGGAGGGACACAGTGGACCTATGTGGAGGGTGACGACAGCACAAAACTCAGAACCCCAACAGCTGGGAGGCTCCACAACAGCACTGGAAAGTGAGGTGAAACCAGAATGCAACAGTCCGCGCCACTGGCAAAAAAATAAAGCGACAGGAAGAGCCTAGAGGGAATTCAGCTTGGAGCTCTGTGGGGGAAAAGCCAAAGTAGAAGAGAAAAAACAAAAGTGGGGGGGTCATGTTTTCTCTCTCCCTGGTTACCCTGCAACTACATCCTGTAACAAGCTGATAGAGAGCTGGTGCCATTTTGGACATACATAACAGCTGCGCCAGCTCGTGTCTGTGCCCAGCAACCAGCCAAGTGGAGAATTCAGAGTCTGGTGGGTAGAACAGCCAGGGGGCTGGGTGCTTTGTGCGGGAGGCTTGTGTGCCAGGACTGTGAACACTGAGGCTGCGTGGGAGGACTCAGGGTGTGGCTGGGACTTTGGGCAGTCATCACAGGAGGCGCCACACAATCAGGGCTCCCTGATTAGCTGGCAAGGCACATTGCTTGGAATTTGAGCTTACACTGAGGACTGCACAGATCCTTTGTGTGGTCCTTGTGGCAGAGTGGATGAATAATATAAGAAAGTTCAGAAACTATACTGTGGTGATGGTTACATAACATTGTGAATAGGCTTAATACTAGTAAACTGTGCACTTAAAAAAATGGCTAAGATAGGGTCTAGTTAAGCCTCTGCCTGCAATGTCAGCATCCCATAAGGCACCACTCCAAGACCCAGCTGCTCCACTTCTGATCCAGCTCCCTGCTAATGTACCTGGGAAAGCAGCAGAAGACAACACAAGTGTTGGTCCCCTATACCCATGTGGGAAACCTGAAAGCAGCTCTAGGCTCCTGGCTTTGGCCTGGCCCAGTTCTGGCTGCTGTGGCCATTAGGAGAGTGCACGAAAAGATAGAAGATCAAAATCAATCAATCTCTCTCTCTCTCTAGCACTCTGACTTTCAAGTAAAACAAATTTTAAAAATGGCTACAATGGTAGATTTCAAATGTATCCGACTACAACAAAAAAATAAGGAGGTGGGCATGTGGCAGAGTGGGTTAGGCTATCACTTGGGATGCCAGAACCTGATATCCAAGGGCCAGTGTGAGTTCCAGCTACTCCATTTCTGCTCCAGCTCCTTGCTACTGCACCTGGGAAGGCAGTGGACAATGGCCCAAGTGTTTGAGTCCTTGCCAACAACATGGGAGACCCAGGTGCTCCTGGCTCCTGGCTTTGGCCTGACCCAGCCCTGGCTGTTGCAGGCATTTGGGGAGTGAACGAGCAAATGGAATAAATCTCAATTTCAATCTCTCTCTCTCAGACTTAGTGATATGCTGTATATGAAGCTTGAAATTGTGGAAACCAGTCAAGGAAAATGCTAAGGATTTGAGCCTTAAGAACAGAGAGAGAAGGAAATCAAGAAAAACCCTAAGGTTTGAGGTTTAACAGAACAGAATTGCTACTTACAATGGGGGGTGGGGGGAGTAGGAAGGGGGAAGATGTGGTTTAATAGAGAAGACTGTGGGATTGATTTTAACTACATGGAACTTGAGGCACCAAATAATTCACAATGACTTAGACATTCAGGACTAGTTCCTCTAATCCAGAGAAGCTTTTGGATAATACTGCCAGAAAAGATCGATGTTTTTTGCTATTGAAAACAGTGCCTAATAAGCTCATACAGAATTAATATGCCCCTTTATTTCCTCAAGATTTTCATAAGTGGAAGTCTTTATGATATGGTCAACACATCCTGTGGATTATAATTACTACATACTCTCACACAAAATTGGGTGGCTTTGGAGGCAGCGGTTGGAGATGAAGCAATGTTAGCAGCTGCTGCTTCTTGCACTGTTTGCAAGTTTCGTTTACCAGACAGTCTTAATGAAATCAAACATGTCTGAGATCATCATGTGCATTGCAGCTATAGTTTCACTTAAGTGCTAACAAAGAACAACTACTTTCTAAAAATCCTTGCACTCTAAGTGCAGATTTAGTTGCCTGGTGCTTCTTAACAGAACACTCCTAAAATTGGAAAGCACTGGGTGAATTATAAACTTCATATAATTTCCCACAAACCATAATTTAGCATTGTTCACAAAGAAAATTTATCAATAAGAGACTGAATAAGACTGCACAATGACCCAAAAGGTGAAATAACATACACATCATCTCAAGATTGTTCCTCCAAAAAATAAGACAACCAAAGATGAATTAAACACAATTACTTCTACAGTGCCCTCAAAATTTATTCCTTACCTCAAAAGATTACATCTGCCCTATTTGTAAAAGTCTTTCCAAAAGGAGTTCAGAAACATGGCACTCCATTGCAAGGTGCATTCTCCACAGCTGCTGTCTACAGCAACTTAACAGAAAAGGTCAGGGCTGCACCCTCTTCCCCTCCCTTGACCCTGGACATTCTTCCGCAGCATATGTTCTGACAATTACCTTCCTTGGTTTCATCAATCCCCAAGTTGTCACAAGTTTCTGAAAACAAAATAATCTAGAGTACCCTAATACATATGTCAAGCCGGCGCCGCGGCTCACTAGGCTAATCCTCCACCTAGCGGCACCGGCACACCGGGTTCTAATCCCGGTCGGGGCGCCGGATTCTGTCCCGGGTGCCCCTCTTCCAGGCCAGCTCTCTGCTGTGGCCAGGGAGTGCAGTGGAGGATGGCCCAAGTGCTTGGGCCCTGCACCCCATGGGAGACCAGGAAAAGCACCTGGCTCCTGGCTCCTGCCATCGGATCAGCGTGGTGCGCCAGCCGCAGCGCGCCGGCCGCGGCGGCCATTGGAGGGTGAACCAACGGCAAAGGAAGACCTTTCTCTCTGTCTCTCTCTCTCTGTCCACTCTGCCTGTCAAAAAATAAAAAAAATAAAAATAAAAATAAAAAAATACATGTCAAGACAGCAACAAACAGATCTACACACACACACACACACACACACTATTAGTACTTTAAGAAAGATAAAAGGAAGCACAGCAAGGATTAAGAACCTCTTGCCATTTAGCTTCAACTTCCGTCCAAGAGATGTTACCTGAAAGCATAATCTGTATCACATTACATGTCTTCAACTTATTCCTCTCTTTCCCTGTCCAAGGTTAAAAGCTTTAGTTTGGGCCCTAATTACTTCTTACCCAGATTACTGGAAGAGCCTCCTTGGTCTACCTGCCTCTGTCTCCAGCCTCCAACACTACTCCAAAGAAATCTTTGACATAAGATTCTGTCACCAACCAAACTTTAATCAGGTTCCTTTGAGTCCTCTTTTCAACTATCATCTTCAGTAACTTGCAAGGTAGATGGGTTAGGTATTAAAAGATACATCCAAAGATAAGAAAACTAAAGCAGAGATAGACCTAATAATTTGTTCAGGATCACAGAGCAAGCAAGAGACAAAAATACATTCTCTCTCTAGATTCCCAGGCTACCCCATCCTGCCATCAAGTGTGAGGAAACTGAAAGGTTGCTGGGCCTTGCTTCCCCTAGCATGAGGATCGTTAAGGTCTACCACCCACTTTGCGGGCACTCATTCTGCCCTCTGCTCAGCTGGCTGTGAATGATGAAACACACGGATAATTTGAAAGTATGCAGACAGTATTCCCAGACACTGGCAGCTAAAGGAAACTTTTGGGAGCTCAAAGTCCAAACTATGAAGGGAGTCTTTGCCTTCCTTTTCCATACTTTCTACGGAGTACTCCATCCCAGCTGAGGGAATTCCCAATCTAAGGAAATCACTAAGGTCCATCCTGCTCACATTTTATGAAATTTCTTCTAAGTAAACTTGTTTCTCGGAAAGCATTTTTCTGGGTCTGAACTACGATTCTATCAGGGCAGACTATGGTCTGTGTTTTCCCCTCCTGGCCTGATGCCATAATCAGAGTGTTAAACCAACAGCCGTTGAAACTGAAACTAAAGTTGGATATTTCCTTAACTCGCATTTTCTTTCAAAACTAGACTCAGCAAATACTTGGAAAGTGAATACACCAAAACCTTATAAAAACAAATTTTTTTAAAAAACTATCATTTAGATTTTTATTCAAAAGACTGTTGGCATAGCAATAGTGGGTTTGCTAATGTCTCTAAAAGCTTTATTTTTTTTTCTGAACAATTTTCCATGCTAACCACATGTGTAATAATTTACAGTGTTTCCCTCTCCTCCAGCAGATCCTACTCAAAACAAGAGAAGGGTCCTTTGTTCTGACTCAATTCTCAGCAGGCAATGTTCTGATTACTGATTAAACTCCCTAGCTACACTGATCCTGGAAAATGGATGGCTCGAGGGCAGGTATCTGGCTCAGAGGTTAGAGGCCACTTGAGACAATGGCATCCTATATTAGAGTGTCTGGGTTTGAGGCCTGGCTCCACTTCCAATTCCAGCTTCCTGCTAATGCACCTGGGAAACAGAGGAAAATGGCCTAAGTGGCAGCAAGTGATGGCTCAAGTAGTTGGGTCCCTGAATCCTGGCTTAGGCCTGGCTCAGCTCTGGTTGTTGCAGGCATTTGGAGAGTGAACCAATAAATGGAATATATATGTCTGTCTCTCTGATTTTCAAATAAAAAAATATTTTAAGAGTTAAAAATAAAAAAAAGGAGGGGTGACTTGGGCTCCAAAACTAGTTATGAATAAATTGTCTTTTAAATTAGCATCTTAGTCTCTTAAAAGATTTAGTTGGCAAAATGAACCCTATGAAAACATGCTTACCCTAGATGGTTACAAAAAATGGGACACAAGGACCAGATCTTACACAATCCTAACAAGGTATTACCACCCTTATGAGACACTGCCTACCTTCCTGGTTGATTGGTTAGCTATTCTCTATACTATTTTTGTGCCATTTCTATTAATTGCTTATGCTTTTTTTTTTCCTGGTCACTTATCTAAGCAAATTCACTTTAAGGCTCATCTGAGGCCCAATGTTTTTTCAGAGGGTTCTTCTCATTTTTTTCTGGCATTAATGCACATACTCTACTACAAACCTCCTTATTTGTCTTCTGTATCATTCATATGACACTGATTATACAGTTTATTTTATTATTTCATTTTTTTGGTTTTCCCAATTAGAATTCAAGCACATTTATGGCTATATATATAACACGCACTAAGATTTGTATTCCTTCATTAATTTAGTGCAAATTACAAATAACTGAGAATGAATAAGAAGCTTTAGGGGTAACTATCCTTTGTATATTTACCCTAGAATCCTCAGAATGAATATTCTTATCTTTAACTAGCTGTATTGATTTTACCCAAATCTGTGTTAACATCTAGGGAAATTATGACCTAAGATCTTATATTAAACCAGGCTCCCAAATCTAAAATAATATTACCCATGTCAAAACAGAGAGGTCTGATGAGACAACAGAAAATTCTTTTTAAAGAGGTATAACTCAGGGCTGGCGCCATGGCTCACTTGGTTAATCCTCCGCCTGCGGCATCAGCATCCCATGTGGGCACCAATTCTAGTCCCAGCTGCTCCTCTTCCAGTCCAGCTCTTTGCTGTGGCCCGGGAGGGCAGTGGAGGATGGCCCGAGTTCTTGGGCCCCTGCACCCACATAGGAGATCAGGAGGAAGCACCTGGCTCCTGGCTTCGGATTGGTGTAGCTCCAGCTGTAGCAGCCATTTTGGGGGTGAACCAATGGAAGGAAGACCTTTCTCTCTGTCTCTCTAACTCTGTCAAATAAATAAAAAAGAGGTATAACTCTATTTTATTCTGTTAAATAAAGTCTATAGAGAGTCATTCTTTCACCTATCCACCCAGCCAATATTAACTGAATGCCTTTAGCGTGACAGGTATTATTCTAGTTGCTGGACATACAGCTGTAAGACTGAAGATATCCTGGTCAACCTGGAACTTACATACCATAATGGAGAAACAAATAGTAAGCAAATAAAAAAAAATAAATATCAGGTAAAATATCATACAGAGAATTACAATAAAGTCATGTGTGTTTCAAATTGGGTGGTCAGAGAGGGTATAGTCTTGCCAAAATTCAAATGCACAGAAGGGACTAGCTATGTAAAGAACACGCTGAAGAACATTCCATATAGAGAAAACTGCTATTGTAAATGTCACTGTGATGAGTACAATCAGAGGGAA